AGGAGAGGGAGCCACCGGTGGCTCCTCTTATCCTGACTCACCTCAGCCTCTCAACCTTCCTCTCCCACTCGCCTCCTTCCTCTTCTGCCTCTGATTCTGCACTGCATTCTGCCACAGAGTCTCCCAGCTCACTAAGCCCTGTTACCCCTTCAGCTTCTGACACCTCCTCTTCCCAGCCTTCTCCCTCTTCCCCTCTGACCGCTCATCCTTCCTCCACCTCCACTCCTTCGGCTCTGAGCCGTCTTCCCTTCCTGGTTCCCCGGCTGCTTCCTCCCACCACTCCTCTGTGCCCAACCAGTCCATGACATTGCTCCATCCCTCGCCTCTGTCCCCACAAGGCAGCTTCCCCTGACCTGATCTGGTTCCACAGCCGCTGCTTCCCTTCTGCCCCCATGAAAAGACGGATCAGGAGGTCTTGCCGGCATCCTTCTGCACCTGCAAGAGAAAAAAGGTAAGCAGGACGCCAGGAGTGCCTGCTTCTCTCACAGGTGAAATAGGGCATCTCTAACTAGATGGGCCTTTGAGAAATCCTTACCTGCTGAGAGCATTTGAATGTTTGTGCCCATTTAATATGTTTGTTGTGCAGAAATACATCTCCCCTCCTCTGGACCCTTGTTCCCAACTGTCTCCCCCAAAACAAGATGAAAAGAACCCTCAGAAAAGTTGGGACCAAATGGAGAAAAACCACCTTCCTCCTTACCCAGTGGCCTCTCTCTGGTGTCCAATGGAGGCCTCTCTGCCTCACAGGAATCCAGGTCCATTTCTGCAAAGAGATCCTTTCCCTGAAAAAGAAACAAGGATTCAAAACAGAGAAAGGTGAGAAATGCTAGAAAGAGAATGACAAAGACATGAAGGGTGTGAGATCTCATTCCATGGAATACTTTCCCAGAAAACGGATGGGCCATCAGCAGAGCATTATGGGATGTTCTCTGTCCTGTTTGGAGCCCCTTGGGAGTATCCAGAGGAAAGTCTCTCTCACCTGCTTTCTCTCCTCTGCCTGACTCAGGAGGAAACCTTCGGCCAGGGCCACCGCCTGGGAACTGGTCTCTGCTCCGCATTCCCTCACCCAGCTCTCCATCTCCAGGGGAAGGACAGCCAGGAACTGCTCCAAGATCACCAGGTCCAGCATCTCAGCTTTCGTGTGCCTTTCTGGCTTCAGCCACTGATGGTCAAGGTGGTAGAGTCGGCTGCAAACCTCTCGGGGTCCTTTGGCCTCCTTGCAGCAGAACTGCCTCAACTGCTGGCTCTGCACCTCTGAACGGATGGTTTCCTCCTCACCCAGGATCTTCTGCACAGAGTTTTCCCAGAATCCCCCACTGCTCCCAGTTTGGCTGCCATGGCCTCTTCCTGCTTCAGGGCCAGCTGAGTCTCGCTCATCCATTTGTGCTCTCAGGAAGCCTTTGAGAGATCGGAAGGAACCCTTTGGTCTTCTGACAAGTTCTGTCCGTCTAAATGAGAAGCTCTAGCAAATCCTACAAAGCAAATACATTGTTCTGTTACAGAATTTGTAGGACAGGAAAAGAAATATTTCCCTGAGCAAGCATGGATGAGTCTTGCTGGGAACCAGGGCTGGACTGCACCACATCCCAGAGCATGAGATATCTTTTTGAAAAGAAAGAGGAGGAAGAGGAGAAGAAATAAGTCTCTAGCCTTCAAGCAATGCAGAATGTGGAGGCAACTGAAGGGATTTCTGGGAGATTAATCAACCTGGTTTCTGCTGGTTTCCAGTCAATGCATGAAGGCAGAACCGAATGATAAGGGAGTCATTTGTATCTTGTGAAAAACAGATGCTTGGCTCTAGTGGGGGTCCTCAGGAGTTGCTCCCCCCACCCTCACCCCACACCCACTCCCCTGCTTCTGTCACCTTTTTCTGCACTCTCTGCCACTCTCCAGACGGATTCCTGGGGTGAGATCTCTTTTCCTCTCTTCTGAGGGCCAGGAATGTATCTGGCCAACCCCCTGAGGGCCAAGTGGGTGGGGCCAAAGACATCTCCCTTGATTTTTTTATTTATTATTATTCTATTAGATAGCTTAACACAAACTGGTTTCCAATGCAGCAGCCAGACTATGGCCTGGGATCCCTCTCTTTATTCCTGGCCTCTCTTTCCTACTTTTCCTTCCTTTCTCCCGGTTGTTTTTTTTGGGGGGGAGGCTAGTCCACCTCCTCCTCCAGCTTTGGAAAACCATTTGCACATGTTTCCTCCGTTGTGCAATGAGGCTGAGCGATGTCACACAGAGTTAAAATCCCAGGGACTTCTTTGTTTTAAAAAGGGAGATTTCGTCAGGGATCCTCTGATCTCCAGGAAGGAGAGCGTTGCAGACCTGGCCCCTCCCTGGCAGGACCCTCTCCTCCCTGACTTGGGGTCCCCCCCACATGAGCAGATCCGGCCCCCCAGGCACCCTCCCCTGCTGCAGCCCTGGGACCCCCACCGTCTCCCCACTGCACCCTCTGGGGGAGGGAAGGGGAGACTCAACCCATAGCTGGCAACCTTCCCTTTTTTGCGGGAAATTCCCTTATTCCAGCGCCGTTTCCCGCTGCTATCCTGGATTCTTAGATATCCCGTAGACTGTCCCCGGGATCAGGCTGCTGATCCCTTATTTTCACATCTGGAAGTTGACAGCTATGGACTCTCCAGATCCCAGGAGGGGGCTGCGATGCGGCCCTTGCAGGAGAGCCACCAAAGCAACACCCCCCCCCCTTCCTTGCAGGAAAGGACTGGGGAGGGAGGGGCCTTGGCTCTGGAGGACCTGGCCCCCTCTTGCTTCCTGGCCTCTCTAGGAAGGCAGCTCACTTCCCTTTAACCCTTGCCAAGCCGAGTCCCTCCAGCTCAGCCCTCTCTCAGATTATTATTATTTCTTATGGATTTAGGGGGTAGCTGCCCCCCTGGCTACGCCAATGCCCAGATATCCTTTTGGGGGTGAGGCTCTTGGCTGGACTCTGAGCATCTCCCTCCCTTGGCCAGAAACCAGAGGAAGAGCTTGCAGGGAAAAGGGCTTTGCAGGAGGCAAGGAAGCTCCTCCTAGAATTCCGGAGTGGAGAGATAGGAGGGGATCCCAGGGTCATCTAGTCCAACCCGAAGCAAGAGGGGTCTAGTTCCCTAAACAGGCAGCCCTGTTTAGGGAAGCTTTTAATGTTTAATAGGTTATTGTATTTTAGTGTTTTATTGGAAGCCACCCAGAGTGGCTGGGGAAACCCAGCCAGATGGGTGGGGTATAAATAAGAAATTATTATTATTATTATTACAACCCCCAGCAATGCAGGAATCTCAGCTAAAGCATTCATGGCAGATGGGCGTCCGATCTCTGCTTAGAAACCTCCAAGGAAGGAGAGTCCACCACCTCCCAAGGGAGACCTTTCCCCTGCCCAACTGCTCTTAGATGCCCCTCAAGGCAGCGGGTCCTGAGTTCTAGCCTGCTGAAACAATCGCACTGGCTGCCAAGGAGGAACCAAGCGAGGTTCAAAATAAATAAATCCTATTCTCATCAGAAATGAGTAATACTTTCTTATGCATGCTTGTGCACGCATCAAAAATATGCTATTTCCCTTTCCATAAATGCTTAATTGCTAATTCAATGGACTGAAAATGGATGGTTGTTGTTATTATGTTTAGGGAAGCTTTTAATATTTGATGGACTATTGTATTTTAATATTATTTTGGAAGCTTCCCAGAGTGGCTGGGAAACCCAGGCAGATGGGTCGGGTATAAATTATTATTATTATTATTATTATTATTATTATTATTATTATTATTATTACTACTACTACTATTGACCAGGTGAGTGTTCTCCTTTTGAAAGAGGCAGGTGGAATCTCCACAGTTGCTAATAGCATAGCGTTGAAAGACTAGTGAAATATGGGGAGCCCTAGAGCATCTGCTTGGCATGCAGAATGTCCCAGGGTCAACCCCTGACATCTCCTGCAAGGGCTGGACGAAATCCCTGCCTGAAACTCTGGGGAGCTGCCTGTCAGTGTAGGCCAGGGGTCCTCAAACTATGTCCTGTGGCCTGAATCCAGCCCGTCAGGGTCGTGAATCTGGCCTGCACGGTCATTTCAGAACCCACCAAGTATCTGATGCTGAAAGCATCTCACCATCCACTCAGTCCTTGCGTCACACTGAGGTAAACACCACAGGTGGGGTGGCGGCTCTACCAATGAAAGGCCAGGTGTTTTCACCTGGGAACGGGGAAGGGTTGTCTTTTGGCTCGAAGAGTGAAGTGCAGGTTGGTGGAGGAAGGCAGACATGGGTCGGTTTCATTACCTAGATGTTTATTTTAAAGGTGGGAGAAGGAAGTACAGTATAGTCCTATTTCTGTGCGTGGAGCAGCAGTCTTTCCACTCATGCAGTTTACATGCTCTGAAAGTTGGGATCTGTTTTGAGATTTAAATTTTAAAAGGGAGGAGTGGAACTGGATATTGACCATCTCGTTAGCCTGGGGCAGGGGGTCAGCAACCTTTTTCAGCCGTGGGCCGGTCCACCGTCCCTCAGAACATGTAGGGGGCCAGACTATATTTTTTGGGGGGCTGAACGAATTCCTATGCCCCACAAATAACCCAGAGAGGCATTTTAAATAAAAGGGCACATTCTACTCATGTAAAAACACACTGATTCCCGAATAGTCCGCGGGCCGGTTTGAGAAGACGATTGGGCCACATCTGGCCCCCAGGCCTTAGTTTGCCTACCCCTGGCCTGGGGAGCCACATTCTGGTTGAAGGAGGCCAGGATTGCCAATCAAGGCCTGGGGCATCCCTCCTCCCCTGCAGTAGGAATTTGGAATCAGGAGAAAACTCTTGGAATAGCCTTGCCAGGAGCTCAGAGACGGACTCACCTGTCCCCATGTCCTTCTCTTTGCAGATGTGCTGCGGTTGCACATCTGTTGCTCAGAGGTGAGTATTGGAGAGAACCAGAGCAGGGACTCAGACCTGCCCTCCTTGCCCCCCACTCTGCACTCTCGGAGGTGGAGAAGCCCTCCCTTCGTGAGGAACTGACTTTGTATTTCAGCTGCTGGAGGAAGATCAGCTGTACCTGCCGGAGGTGATTCAGAACTGCCAGGCAACTCAGCTCAGGGGGCTCCGAACCCTGAAGTGCTCCAAGCAGGAGACGGCCAAAGCCATCCTAGTGAGTGATGGGTGGTGTGCGGGACCCCCATGGGGAAGTGGGGGAGGGAGGGGCTTTGGAGAAGGGGTTGTCCATCTGCCAGAGGAGGAGGACCATGTTGGTCTAGGTTCACATATCCTGCTTGAAAGGGGAATAATCTTAGGGACTTCCTGTGAAAATCTGGGTCAGGAATGCTGTTCCTGGAATGTACAAACACACAAAACATAACAGTCTGTGGATTCACATAAACAATACTCTTCTATATATTCTCATCACAATATCAAATGTTTATCTTGCACATAAACAACACATAAATTACAATAATATAGACGGAAGTCCCAATAAATCAGTTCATTCAAAAGACCAAATGTCTGCTAGTTTCTGTTCCACATACGTTCATAAAGTCCAAATTGGAGCCTATTACAGTTCCACAGTGTTGACAAGGATTTCCGGAATAATACCTTTTTTCGCTCTCATGGGCTTCATTCGTTGTACATATTCTAAGTAATATAAATGACTATAATGTCACAATTCAACATATTTTAACAAATTAACAAACCTGTGTATGGATCAAGTTTGTTTTACATTTGTTGTTTTAAAGGGGTCACTTAAAGAAGAAAACCTTGCAGCTGCAGATTGCTGTCACCTGTAGCTAAAATCAATGCTGCGCCTGTCTATATACATTGTAAGACTTGTTGTTCACTGCAGAAACCACTGTGTTATAAGTTCCATTATCTGGATACTTCATATATGGTATGTACTTTTATAGCACAATTGTTTATATAATTTTAATTTGTTAAATGATCTAGTGGTCGATCCACAACTCTGGTCACTGCTCCCTGAGAAAAGCTCAAGAACTCTGGGCAAAGACAATGGGTAGATCACTGGCAGGATTTTTATTATTAATAGCATTTATTTTATTTTATTTTATTTTCCCTTTGGGGACATGTCCACCACATGTGGAATAAGGTTCCCTCATTTTGTCTGCATCTCCAACATTTATTGCTGATATTTATTTATTTTGACTGATTTGGATGGGGTCAGGTACCATCTAAAAATCAGATAGCATGTGGTGAATTTTAAGTCTTTTTTCATAATTTCCCTCATTTTTCATCTTCATTGGATAGCCACAATCGTGTGCCCATTTCACCATCACCTCCTTCACCTCCTAGTCCTTAAGGTTCCAGTCCAGTAACAATCTGTGTAGTTTTGATAATATCTTTGTATTATTTAATAATATTATTAAAAAACAACAACAACCCGCTGTTGTTCTGTCAAGTCCATTTATTTTTTGTCTGGAAAAAATTGTTTAGCTGGTAATCTATCTTTTTTACTTTTGTTTTCCTTTTATATTTTTCTTCTTTGTATTTTTAGCATATAATAACAGTCGTAATTATATGGAAATGTGATAATAATATTGAAATGAATAAAATGATTAACTCGCCAAGATTTTTATTGTTTGCAGCTTCCCAAGAAAACTCAAGGAGATTCTCTCCTTTTTGGCTTTTACCTCTTACCTTTATAACTGTGTCTTTACGTCCCAAAAGTCCTGCCCCACCCTCCCGCTTACAGGATATCCCTTCTACAGATGTCAACGCAGACCCAACGATGGAAAGCCCTCAGCCCAATTCCTCGTGACCACAAGACTATTTATTACCTGCAGCAACAACAACAAAAGACACCAGAGTGGCCACAGCTATCTCTTTCCAAAGGATATAGACTGACAGGGAGGGGGCTGACAAAGGGGGAAAAGTTGAATTGCAAGCACATTCTCTTACCTCTTAAACCTCAAGACTCGGTGCCCCAGGATTGAAAAGATATGTAAAAGATCACGATTGCCTCAAGATATGCAACTGAGATTTCATTAGTATGTTGTGTGTTATTATGTAGGAATGCTGTGTCTGACAGTATGTTATTTCCACAAAGGGGGGATTCAATTTTGTGTATAATTGTTTTTATGTTCAATGTATAGTGTCTTATTGCCTACACCCCAATGGAGGATTCTCATGCATTTTAAGCTTTCTAATAGATCAGACTTTTGCGGAGTCCAGTATTGAGATTAGATCAATTTATGACCACATTTCCTTGTTCCACCTGGCACTCTGCAGTGTGCCAACCTTCTCTATCCATTTTTAAATGGTTTCAAATTCACTTCGCCAAGACAAAGCTTCAGGAGCCATTAAACAGCAGATACATGAAGGTGTATATGCTTTGACTTAGCAGGAATGGTCCCTTATAGAGTTAAAATGACTAATTTGAACAACTGCCCTTTTTAGAATGGTTTTTCACAGACATAAAAGACAGAGTTTAAATTATATTATGAAGCTGCATGCCTGATATGGATTAGGGACTGGGTGAAGTTGGAAAAGCAAGAAGCATTAGAATTGGAAGGACATGACAATAGATTTGGCTGGCACGCATATTTATGGCATGGGAAAGGGAAGGTACATAAAAGTTTTTATAACCATATAATTTTGAAATCACTAATGAGTGTATGGGAGAGATATAAAGATTTGTTAGAACAGCAACCCCCTTGGTGGCTTTCACCACATGAAGCTTTACTGCTCGAACCACTTGGAAAGAAAGGAAAGTGGCTTACCTATGCTGACTTGTTAAAGGATCAAGAAGGAAAATGGAAACAAAGAGATTACGAGGAAATAAAAGACCATTTTCAGAGTTGGTTACAAGAAGACAATAAGAAATGATTTCGCTACACAACATCTAGATTTCAAAAGGAAGTCGTAGAAGGGAAAGGGAAGTTGCTGAAAGGTGCATATAGTATTCTGCTAGAATGGGAAACAAAAGATGAAGAGGTGAAATCAGTCATGATTAAATGGGCACAAGATATAGGTCACAATATAATGTGAGAAGGGAGGTTTTCTTTCTGGGGGGAGGGGGAAATGGGGGGAATGAGGATGATGTGTTTTTTATAAATTGCTGTTGAAATTCCTAATAAAAAATATTCAAAAAAAAAGTTGAGAACCATGGGGCTATATAAATTCTAACTGGAATCAGTTTGAATTGGGCAAGTGTATCCAGGCTGCAATTATCTTTTTGGTCCCTTAGGAACTGTGGGGTTAGGCTCTGCGATCCAGAGCCTGTGGAGTCCGATACTCTTACGCTGCGACTCAGCTTCCTGGACTTGTAGCAGAGAAACACAGCTTTGTGCTTGTGTGTGTAAGCATGCAGAAAACAGCATCTATACACAGCCACTTTCTAATCTAAGCAGCTTTATTTATGTACAGAAGCAAAAATAAATCATCCGTTCTGGGAGCGGCAGATATCGCTACTCCTTTCGTCTTGGTCAGAAAACGAAAGCAGAAAGACTAATAAGAGATCCCGGATGTAGGGATCTCCACCCCTCAGTGGGCACAACACAAGACTCTGAGCTGTTTTAACCCTGTAAGCTCTGATTCTCCTCACACCCCCTCTTGTCCTGCACTGCTGGGGCTTGTAAGCATCAACACTTACCCCCAAAACAACCCTGCACAGAATTCACTGTGCCTCTGGAAACTCAAAGGTTTAGTAAACCCATCTGCCAGATTCTGCTGGCTTGGACAGTACTTCAGCATCACTAAGCCTGACTGGACATTCCGACACACATTTTGGAAACGTATGTCCAAATGTTTGGTTCTGGCCTTAAACTGCCCAGACTCTGCCAACTTCAGACAGGGTTGATTATCCTCCCAAACAGTGACGGGCAAACAACAATCCCCGCAGATTTCCTGGACCAAACACCTGTAAAACTCTAGTTCTCTGCAAAGCTCTGACAATGCACTGAATTCAGCTTCAGTAGAGGAAAGTGCAATGAGACTCTGCTTTTGGGACTTCCACCCAACTAGAGTGTCCCCAAACTTTATTCCCATCCCAGGCACAGACTTCCTGTCTTCCAGATTCGCCCAGTCGCTATCAGTCCAGAATGTAAGCTTGGTTTCACCCTTAGCCAACAGTTTGAGACAGAAATCTTTGGTATCCTGCAGGTAACCCAGCATCCTCTTGATACCATTCCAGGCACTCACACTTGGCCTTGTAGCTTCCCTGCTGAGCAGATTGGTAGCAAATGCTAGCGTATGTCTGGTCTGCTCCACTGGGAGAGATACAGCAAACTACCCAGAGCTGACTGAAAGATCTCAGTGTTTTTGAACTCGGCACATTCCCCTAGCTGACTGTCTTTCACGTAGCTTGTCTCCATGGGTGTACTGACCCCTGCACATTCAGACATTCTGAACTTCTCAAGCAACTGCTCAATCTGGCCTTTCTGACTGAGCAAGAAGCTTCCGTCCTGGGACCTATCTATCTGGACGCCTAGGTAAACTTTCACTGGATCTAGGTTTTTGAGTTGGAAATGTTTTCCAAGCTCTGTGGCAAACCCTTGAACCTCTTTCCCTGTCTTTGCCACATAAATTGTATCATCCACAAAAATCAAGACCACCTCTTGTGACTCTCCTGACCGACTGCTTCAGACCGTAAATGGACTTATGAAGCTTCCACACTGCATCTGGCCTATTGCTCTCAAGCCCTGGAGGAGGATGCATGTACAGATCCTCCTGGAGGTCTGAGTTCAAATAGGCTACATCCACATCAAAGTGATGCACCCGATGACCTCTCTGTGCAGCAATGGCTAAGAGCATGCACAGACTTTTACTTCTGGAAGTAGGAGCATACACCTCAGTGTAAGGCAGCAGTTCCACTGCGTAAACCCTCTGGCTACCAGCCTAGCCTTGTACTGCGGTTCTCCAGTTGCTGTGGGTTTAAGACGGTAAACCCGGCGGCTGCTCACGGCCTGCTTGCCTGCTGGCAGCGTCGTGATGGAGAACACACCTAGAGACTCCATTGAGTTCATTTCCTTCTGCATTGCCTCTTGCCACTTCCTGGCTTCCTCTTCAGGCAACTTCTGAACTTCCTCAATACTCTCTGGTTCACACTGAGCCACACCAATCCACACACTAGTGACCTCAAACCTTTCAGGTGGTTTTCCTTTAGTAGTGTGAGCTGAACACCTCAGCACAACCTCAGGTACGCCCTCTGACCCACTAGGGCCAACTAGTGTGTCCTTGCTCTCCCCTCTGACTTACTGCGCATTCTGGATTTCTCAACTGGACTTGTGGGTGAGGAGGAGCACTCTTTGGCTCTAGCTTAACAGCTTTAGGAGATGCCCTTTCCTGTTCCTGCTCTGGGTTGGGACTCTGAGCCTCAGCAGCATGATCAGTTTCTACCTTTCCTTCACCAGCAGAGTCAAGCAGACTCTCTGAAAGAATGTCTGGATTCCCATGTATGCATTTCCACCCACTCTGCTCACAGAACTCAGCACTCCTGCTGACTAGAATCCTAGACTGATTGCCTTCTGGATAGGCAAATCTCCACCACTTGGTCCCTGGCTCATACCCACAAAGGATCATTCTCTGGGACCTAGGGCCACCCTTTCTGTGTTTGGCACAAGGACCCAAGCCTCACATCCAAACACACAGAAGAAATGCACCTTGGGCTTAGAATAGAATCATATAATCATAGAGTTGGAAGAGACCACAAGGGCCATCAAGTCCAACCCCCTGCCAAGCAGGAAACACCATCAGAGCACTCCTGACATATGGTTGTCAAGCCTCTGCTTAAAGACCTCCAAAGAAGGAGACTCCACCTTGGCAGCAAATTCCACTGTCGAACAGCTCTTACTGTCAGGAAGTTCTTCCTAATGTTTAGCTGGAATCTTCTTTCCTGCAGCTTGGATCCATTGCTCCGTGTCCGCTTCTCTGGAGCAGCAGAAAACAACCCTTCTCCCTCCTCTATGTGACATCCTTTTATATATTTGAACATGGCTATCATATCTTTCCACGCTTCCACCCAAAACCGCTGGGGCAACCCTGTGTCAAAGAGCATGGCTTCGGTTGCCTCCTGCAGCATTCTCTACCTGCATTCTGCAACTCCATTCTCCTGAGGAGAATTTGCAACAGTCAACCTGTGGTGTATGCCTTTCTGGCAGAAGAAGTTCTGCAACGCAGACCTGGTGAACTCTCCACCGGGATCTGATAGAAAGCTCTTGACCCGCAGTAAGAACAGTAGTTCTCACTGCCGTTATCCAGTCTTTCACCAAAGCAGCGGCCTCTCACTTGTGCTTCAGAGAGAAAATCCACCCACCCATTTCTGGAATAATCATCCACCAGAGATAGCACAAATTTGGCCCCGCCCAGACTGGCAACTGGCATAGGGCCCCAAAGGTCTGCATGAACTAGCTCAAAAGGTTTTGTGGTTACTCTGTCAGACCTAGGATAAGAGCACATTTGAACCTTGGCTTTCTTGAAGGCACCCTTCATTCCAGGTATTTGTCACATGCCTTCATCTTGCACCCCTCAGTGCACCCTGGGACCTTCTTCATGTACCCCCAGTTGATATGTGACATTCTCCGGTGCCAAACACCATGATGGCACCCATCATGAATGGGAAGGTTACCACACTGTGCTTGTGCATCCTCAGGGGGACCTTTACCTGCAATAGGCATTTCTAGCACAAACAGCCTGTCTTTGCACTCAACACTGACCAGTTGTCGTCCACCTCTGGAAATGGAATAAACATTATTTTCAAAACACACTTTGAACCCCAAATGGACAAGAGAGGAAACAGAAAGCAAACAGAACTGCATCTCTGGAACGACATAGGCCTCAATCTCCGCCTGTAAAAAAGAACAATAAACAGAGCCAGACATAGCGCTTGGAACCATCTGCAAGAGTTACACTTCTTCCAGTTTTCACAGCCTTGCAGTTCCACAAAAAACCACTAGATAGTGATGGCATGAGGTGGTGACTGGCCCCACTGTCAATCACCCAGCTCAGCACGTGGCCCTGGTCGCAGTTTTTCACTGTTGCCATAGCAGCAGCCAAATGATACTGTGACGACATGTCTCTGCCAGTTTCCTTGAGACCTTTTGAGGCTTCCCACGCTTGGCAGCTCCTGTTATCTGGTTGCCACAGAAAACGGCCTTGGAGACATCCTGTGGCTCCACTGGACAATTCCGAACCAGGTGGAATACAGAGCTGCACCGGAACCGCCGGAAAGTAAAAGCTTTCAGTTTCTTCACTTCTCCCTTCTCCCTTCACCCCCACTCTTGGGTGCAGCACAGCCTGGGCTTGCTCACCGTCCAGCTTTCTGCCTGTAATGCCTATAATGGCAGCAACTTTTTAAAAAAGTAATATTTTGAGCCCGTAGTTCAATTTCCCAGCAGCTCCCCTTGCCCCAGAGAACACTTCTAGCATTCCATCTCCTATACCTGTGGCATTATTCAGCAGTGGGAAAAGTGACCTCTTCACACCGGATGTCCATTTAGTATGGACCTTTCCAGGTTTTTGCCTGCTCATTGTATTTGTCTTTCATTTGTTCTCCTATGTGTGTTGCGAGTAGAAGCCACAATTCTGTGGGTACTCTAGGTGGTGCAGAGAGTTGGCAGCTATTCCCTACACCCAGAGGTCTCAGGATGGTTACAACATAAAAAACAAATTAAAAACACAAAACACCACATTTTAAAAGGTCATTAAATGTCAATCAGCCAAAGGGAAGGCTTGGTTTAAAAAGTGTGGATTTGCCTGGCTCCTAAATCTGTATAATGGTTTTTCCAACCTTTGTATGGATTCTTTGATGGGAAGTAAGATTGGCCCTCTGACTGAAGCTTTTTCCACATTCCACACACTGATATGGTTTCTCCCCTGTATGAATTCTTTGATGTGAAGTGAGATTGTGGCTGTGACTGAAGCTCTTTCCACATTCCACACACTGATATGGTTTCTCCCCTGTATGAATTCTTTGATGGGAAGTGAGTTTGGAGTTCTGAGTGAAGCTCGTTCCACATTCCACACACTGATAGGGTTTCTCACCTGTATGAATTCTCTGATGCTTAGTGAGATTGGAGCTCTGAGTGAAGCTCTTTCCACATTCCACACACTGATAGGGTTTCTCACCTGTATGAATTCTTTGATGGGAAGTGAGCCTGTGGCTGTGACTGAAGCTCTTTCCGCATTCCACACACTGATAGGGTTTCTCCCCTGTATGAATTATTTGATGGGAAGTGAGAGAGGATCTTTCAGGGAAGCTCTTTCCACATTCCACACACTGATAGGGTTTCTCCCCTGTATGAATTCTTCGATGGTAAGTGAGATTGGAGATCTGACTGAAGCTTGTTCCACATTCCACACACTGATAGGGTTTCTCCCCTGTATGAATTCTTTGATGGGAAGTGAGACTGTGGCTGTGACTGAAGCTCTTTCCGCATTCCACACACGGATAGGGTTTCTCCCCTGTATGAATTATTTGATGGGAAGTGAGACTGTGGCTGTGACGGAAGCGCTTTCCACATTCCACACACTGATAGGGTTTCTCCCCTGTATGAATTCTTCGATGTGAAGTGAGATCAGAGCTCTTCCTGAAGCTCTTTCCACATTCGACACACTGATAGGGTTTTTCCCCTGTATGAATTCTGTGGTGGGAAGTGAGAGAGGAGCTCTGAATGAAGCTCTTTCCACATTCCACACACTGATAGGGTTTCTCCCCTGTATGAATTCTTTGATGATAAGTGAGAGAGGTGCTATCAGTGAAGCTCTTTCCACATTCCACACACTGATAGGGTTTCTCCCCTGTATGAATTCTTTGATGGGAAGTGAGATGGGAGTTCTGACTGAAGCTCTTTCCACATTCCACACACAGATAGGGTTTTTCCCCTGTATGAATTCTTTTATGGGAAGTGAGATTGGAGCTGTGACTGAAACTCTTTCCACATTCCACACACTGATAGGGTTTCTCTCCTGTATGAATTCTCTGATGCTTAGTGAGATCGGAGCTCTGACTGAAGCTTTTTCCACATTCCATGCACTGATAGAGTTTCTTTCCAATGAGATTTTGTTGATGGGAAGTGGAATGGGAGCTCTGATTGCAGCTTTCTCCACACTCTAAATTTTTACGTGGCTTCTCCTCTCTCGGGATTTTATCTTGGTCACCTTTGTTCTCAATTTTCGATTCATTACAATCTGCAATGGAGACAAAAAGGGATTAGAGCCTCAGGAACAAATGGAGAAGAACTGAAAGAAGTTGAGCTTGTGTTCATTACCTGTGTTGTTTGTCATTAACCATCATATTTATTATGTTCTGAGTTGTTGAATGTTGGTTTGTTTAATATACAGTAGTGGTCAAAATTGGGGAAGACTTTTGGAAAAAAGTGTATTTCAGAGTTTTGATGGCTTATAACACCATTTCGTTTGGAGTAATATCATAAAATATCAATGGAAAGATAATTTAATGAAGACTGCAATTCAACAAAGGTTGTTCAATTAGCCATATTCTATCAAACGTTATAGCCAAATAACCAGAAAAAGCAAAACTTGCTTAGGTTGACTTTTGTCAGTGTGTTATGTGATTGCTGTCAAGTTGGTTGGGGGTTTTTTTTGTTCTTTCATTTAGTGAGGTTGTAAAACATAATAAAATTATAGAAATGGCACAAAGAGTTGACTGGTCACCCAGAAGTGATGTAAAATTGTAGTATTAAGTGAACAGGGCTACAGTTATGAAGAAATTAGATGGAAGATTGGGGAAAACTTAACCAAAGCTGGCATTTCGCTATTTTTGAAGAGGTATAAGGAGTCTCAGCAACTATAAAATCAGACTGGTAAAGGCAGGAAAAGGTGCACAAAGGCAAGTGACGATAGAAGAATAGAGAGACTGTCCCTACATGACAGAAGAAAATCATTTTGGTGTATACAAGATGACATGGCGAGATGTAATGTGAAGTTGAGTGCAAGGACTGCTCGAAATGTTAGAATTCTAAGGAAAAATCCATTGTTATCTCTCAAGCATGAGTTTGACCAAACTGCGGGAGGCAGTGGAAGACAGTAGGACCTGGCGTGCTCTGGTCCATGGGGTCACGAAGAGTCGTACACGACTAAACGACTAAATAAAATATCTCAAGCAAAGGTTGAAAAGATTAAACCCATGTTAACTGGACAGCGGAACAATGGGGCAATGTTTTTGGAGGGATGTGACCCAAATCTCCTTGCTTGGTAGTGATGGCATGAAATACACAAGGGGAAGAATCAGAGAAGATTTACATCCTACTTGCCTTACACCGACCGTGAAACACCCAGATAGGTGTGATGATCTGGGGTTGTATGGCAGCAAAAGGTGTGGGCAGAATTTTCGTTATTAATGGGAATGGAAATGCCCCCAAATAAAAAATGAAATACTTTAGCCCAAACTGAAGCCTTCCGCAGGTGATCTTTACTCAGATACTGAAGCATTTATATATATTTATTTATATATTTACTTTCTTTTTTTTTAAAAAAATAATTTTTATTAAGTTTCATATTACCGAATTAAACACATCAAACCAATTAGTCCAAATTATAACAATACATATCATGTAATCCAATTATTTTCCAAATTATAAATTTTTGTGAGGGGTACCCATGCTTCTTGATCGGCAGGAGTCCAATCCTCGAATATTTTCTGCTGCTTTCATATTAAGAATGATATTTCCAGTCCCTTCTTCTCAATCCTTGTCGTTACTCATTTTCCTTTTCATTCACCTCCAAATTGCTCCGCAAGTGGGTTGAAAGAAACAGTCTTGTTTGTATTTCTGTGTGGGCTTTGTACTGCTCTTTCGTAAATCCCAATAATCCAGGCATTTCCGCTCGAGCAAGCAATCGCCATCTTCTTGTTCTGATGAAATACAGTCCAAAAGCTCGCTCTTTAACTTTTCCGACCTGTTGCATCGTAAATTAGTCTTTTTCCAGGAGGGCTGCCCCTTCCAGTTCACAATCTCATAGAAAGTAATAAATCTTCGGCTCGCCCTCCCCAAGACCAAACCTCCTGCAACACAGGTCTCATATCAAATCTCCATTCTAACTGCGTCACAAAGAGAGCCCTTCTTTCCAAATCCTTTACAGAGTAAAATCTTTAAATTCATATTATTCCCACACAGTTCCTTTTTAGTCCCATTTGCCAATTACCGTATTTTTTGCACCATAACACTCACTTTTTTCCTCCTAGAAAGTAAGGGGAAATGTCTGTGCGTGTTATGGAGCGAATGCCTGCGGGTGGCGGGGGGGGGATCTGCAGTCGTGAGCAGAGCATCCATGGTTCCCCTTCCTTCCCTCCTCCGTAGTTACAAAGCACAGATCCACATGGATCCTCAGGATTTTTGCATTGGGCTACTCCAAACTCACTGTCAGATCACATGTCTGTGGCCACAGCATGAACCACAAAAATCATATATCCACTATTTCGTTTAGAATATTTTTTTTCTTGTTTTCCTCCTCTAAAAACTACGTGCGTGTTATGGTCCGGTGCGTGTTATAGAGCGAAAAATACGGTAGTTGCTGTGATGGATATTTTAAGAGGGAGGGTTATTAGTTAATCACATAGAGCAAAAAAAGATAAAAAGTCATTTCACCCCCCCCTTTAGTTCCGTTGCCCTCCATTCCACATACCAGCATGTCTGTAGTTCTTTGACGTAATCTTCCGTCTCAGTCTTCTTCATTTCAGTGGTAAAATTGTTAGCAAATAAAAACCTCCTGCCTCTCTTGAAGCCTGTGCGTTATCTTTCACCAATTTTTTTCCTTTTAAGTAACGCAACTAGTTTCGCTCCTGAAAGTAGCTTCGGAGGAGTTCCGAGGCCCGCCGAGGGTTGTGCACCCAGTGCCTCACCCCCTCCTTCTTCTGAACTCGGGGGTGATTTATGGCAACAGTGGGTGAAAACTGCATCTCTCCCCCCTGGAGAGATGAGGGAGACTGATTTACTCCCCATAATCAGCCTCTAATTACCTCGTGCGAGCTGGATAGATGTTAATATCTGCCATCTTCCAAGGCGCCCTCCTACTTATATACTCCTACTAGCGGCCCCCTCCTACTTATATATTTATTTTCTATTTCAACAGGACACAGCTCCATGTCCTGTTGCTGCTGTGTGAAAAAGGTGCTTTCAAGATAATCCTATTCCACTGCCGGGAATAGCCCAAACATTAACCCAATCAGAAATCTATGGAGCCGACTAAAGAAAATTCTTTGTTAGAAGCAATCCAACAATAAAGCCCAATTAACAGAGGCAATAATTCAATCTTGGTTTCACATTCTTACAGGTGCAGAACTAAAAATTTGGTTCACTTCATGGGAAAGCGTTGTAAGGCTGTAATTAAAGCTAAAGGTTACCAATGGTTACCAAAATTTTCACATTTTTTCTTTGTGACTACTGTTCCAATAAATACTCCTTCATAAAAGTCATTACATTACATTGTTCATTAAATTATCTTTCCATTGATATATAATTTTATGGTATTACTCCACACAAAAGTGGTGTTATGAGCCATCAAACCTCAGAAATACACTTTTCACAAAAGGTTTCCACAATTTTGGCCACCAGTATAAGTTGTTCATTTTAAAGTTAATGTTCTTTTTATATGGCATCAGAATATTATTATTCATGTTTCATGTTTATATACCGTATTTTTCGCCCCATAGGACGCACCGGCCCATAGGACGCACCTAATTTTTTGGGGGGGAACAAAGAAAAAAAAAATTTCCCCTCCCCAGGCACGGGGCAGGCGTGGGGGAAACCCGAGATTCCCCCGATCCCAGCCCCCAGAACAGCCTGCTATCTGCAAGCCTGGGGAGCCGCACCGGTCTCCCCAGGCTTGCGGAGAGGTGCGCGAAGCCCGGGGGCGCTCTTCAGCGCACACCAGGCTTCAGAATGCAGGCAGCTCAGTGCTACCCTCCGGAGCCCCGCGTGGCTTCGCGCCGGGATCCGGGGGGTGGCGTGGAGCTGCAGGAAGTCCTGGAGCGCAGGCAGCTCCGTGCCACCCTCCACAGCCCCGCGCAGCTTCGTGCCGGGATCCGGAGGGTGGCGCGGAGCTGCAGGAAGCCTGGGAAAGCCTGCATTTGCCCCATAGGACGCACACACATTTCCCCTTCATTTTTGGAGGGGGAAAAGTGTGTCCTATAGGGCGAAAAATACGGTATGTGTTGGAAGCTGCCCAGAGTGGCTGGGGCAATCCAGTCAGATGGGCAGGGTAGAAATAAAAATGTCAGCTTTGTTCCGGAGCTGACAGAGGCTGGAATTTATGAAAGCAGGCAAAGAGAGATAAGGGCACTGGAATGTGAGCCAGAATGTGAGAGGGAGGAGGGGCAGCCGAGTGGCAGAGGTTCAGAGAACAGAGAGCAGGCAGCAGATAGCAAAGATCCACAAAATACCAATCTTAAGTCAGACACAGTGTGAAGGAGCTCCGGAGTGATTTATGTGTTTGAGCAATAAACCCGAGATAATTACTGCCAGTGTCTCGCTTCTGTGGGAGAGCCAAGCCATTACAAAAAATTATTATTACTACTACAGCGGTACCTGTTCTGGAAAAAAATAAGTTTGTAAACCGAGGTACCACTGTATCATCCTCATCCTCATCACTGCTACTGCTACCTGAGATTCAATAAGCCTAGCTCTTCTCTGGAATGAATTTTGTTTGGCCCAGTCATGGCATCCCCTCCATCTCCAATGTCAGTCCTTGTTATGGCTTGGTCTTCCACAAACGTGAGACGACTCTGGCTGTTAATTATTTCAAATTTATTGCTGAAACAACAAACTTGGACGGAGCTCCTCTACTCATCGTCTTCCCCACAAGATGGAGTTGCCCGGACTGAGCTCCTCCCCCTTCCCCAGCACGGAAGCCCCCACCTTCTCTTCCAGTATCTTGACCACTTTTCAGATCCTACGAGATTTGGCAGAGAATGCTTCCTGCATTTCAGCGTATTACTCACTCCTGTAGCTCTCACACAGCTGTCTGTCACTGTCTCAGTTTTTCTTCTCCCCTTTGTTCAGAGCTCAGATTACAGTTGATCTCCTTCTC